AAATGTGCAAACTATTTCTAGCTTGCAGGTTATACAAAAATAAGCCAGGAGCCAGATTTGGCCTGAGGCCATAGTCTCTGCCCCTGTGCAATAAACTTTCTGTGATGACGGAAAGTTTCTCCACACTGTCCAATATGGTAGCCACTAGCCATATATTGCTACTGAGCACATGAAATGTGGCTTGTGTAATCAAGATATTAAATTCTTGATTTTCTTTCATTTTAATTAATTTTAATTTAAATAGTTATATGTGGCTATTATCTCACCTACATGAGCAGGTCATTTAGAGATTATTTGAACTACCAACCTCCCTGGAATAAATATGAATAGATGATTTTGGAAGTGAGCATTCATCCACCAGCAAATGTAACTGTGATGATGTGTTTCTATACTCAAAATGATATGAAAAAAAAAGTCCCACAAAATGCCTAAATGTTATTTTAGAACAGTCTTTCTATTTGTGTGCATTTAGAACAAGGGAAAGATGTTCAGATCTGGTGGCTGCATGAAGTTACTTCAGTTGAGGGGATTCAGAACATCAAGGTTAATTCTTGCCATCTACAAGGAGCCCCCGACCTGATAAACTTAAAACAAAAACCCTTTTTATTTTTAATTTACATGCAGAAAAATCTGCTTCCAATTCCCTAAAGGCCTTTAAGTGCCCCTGCTACCTCACCACCTTTCCTAAGAATATACTACCCTTCAACATTATGAGGGCCTAGTCTTTTAGAAATCCCTAGGTTCAAGTGCTCGGTGAGATGTGTGCATTTTCCCTCCACCTAGTAAAACGTATTGACCATGGTGTTAGCATAATGGGGAACCAGATGATGATAAATTGCACAAGAATGGGGGCAGGCAAAACAAGAAGACATGGACAGAAAGTGAGAAAGCAACAGATCAAGGGAGTTGAGGGTCTTCTTGGTCAAAGAACTGTGGAAGAGGGATATTAGAGCAAGTCAGCTGAAAGAAATGTATGGAATGAGTGAAATTTGAAATTGAGATGTTGGAATTGGAGCAGTCATGAGTGATGATAAGGTCCAAGATGAAACTTGACTGTGGTGGGGTGGAAAATAAACAAACAGTATGTTGCTGGTTATAAGGAAGTAAGGGAATGAGAAGCCAAGTATTACATAGGTCGTCTGCTGGAGATGCTGAAGTCACAAAAAATGGCAATAGATCAAGGGTCAGGATCCAAAGTTGTCAGGGAGCTGAGAGTGAGCTGGGGTGTATAACCTACCAGTAAATATATGACAGCAATAAGAGATAGGAGGTGGCACAGAGAGTTGGCATCACGCTACCTTCTCCCAGCTCCATTTATATTTACAGCTATTTTCTGGGGAAAAGCTGATGTCAGAACACAGGCTCCATTTGTGCTGAGACCTCTGTCAGTGAATAGACTCTGCCTTAACCTGCCTGTCCTGTATTAGGGCCGCTTCCTATTTCAGGCGTCAAAAACAAAAGGGCTAATTAGCAAATCCAATTTTTGCCCAGTCCACCAAACATATCATGAGGGTATCCTGGAAGTGTAGTTCCCAATCCTTTTTGAAAGAGATTCCAGTAAGGACCTGTAGTAGTGACAATTCACTAAAGATATACAACTAATTGTGTGTGTGTGTGTGTGTGTGTGTGTGTGTGTGTGTGTGTGGAGAGAGAGAGGGAGAGAAAGAGACAGAGACAAAAAAGAGAATGACAGAGAGAGAACAATTTATTTCAAGGAATTGGGTCACATGGTTGTGGAGGCTGGCAAGTGCAAAATCTGCAGCGTCGTTAGGTAGGCTGGAAACCTTAGGAAGAGCTGATGTTGCAGCTGGAGTCTGAAGCCAGACTGGAATTTCTTCTTTCTCAGGGGAGGTCAATTAGTTTTTTTTCTTAAGACCTTCAACTGATTGGAGGGTAATCTGCTTTATTCAAAGTCTACTGATTTAAATGTTAATCTCATCTAAAAATATATCTTCACGACAACTTGGAAGGCTGGGAGTAGGAAACTGATGTAAGTTATGCAAGATTTTAATTAAAATATAAATGCTTCCAACAAACTGTGTTTGCTAACTCAGAAGATACCATCTCTTGCAACACTGGCCAAACTCTTGCATGCGGATATGAAGGGACATTCTGTAGTGCTTGCTAGCCTCATATGAAGGGACATTCTGTAGTGCTTGCTAGCCTCATCTTCTTATGAAGTCACCATTTCTACACTTTCCCCGCTTTTATTCTCAAGGGAATTCTACTTTCTCATTACTTGGTTTCTTTCCTGGATTTATCTCATGAAAAATTAGGCTATTTTTGGCTTCTTAGAATACGCTTACTCAGGAGACACAGGCAGGTAATTTACATATTGCTTATAGAAGAGTCTTAATGCAATACTTGTGAATTCAAAGTCTCTCACACCTGTCTTTGTTTTCAGAAAGTCTCTGTTAATCTCTCAGTGCAGAAGATACAGCCACTCCTAGGGTTGAGAACTACTTTATTCATTGATAACTAACTTTATTATTTACCCTACACAGACTTCTGCACCATAGACATAGACGATGCCAATAATATATATTCCCTGCACACCAAGCTACCTAGAAATCTATTTTATATTTTGGAACTTTATTGGCAATAGGTCATGACTATTGCTTTGGCAGAAACCTACTACAATACAGAGTGCCTGGCATCTAGTAGCATATTTTATTCTTGCTGTTGGAAATGAATACTTGAAAACAAATTCCTGGACAGTGATACTTTGGTCTAAGAACTGTGAGATGTCTGCTGTCTAAATCACAATGGAGTTGTTCATTTAAAAATGAGAAATTTAAATTCTGACTCATAAGTATTAAAGTGTTTTTAGTGGAGCCTTTAAAGAACTCAAAGGGGGAAAAGGAGCCATCCTTTTCTATCCCAGGAAGCTCCACATTAATGTTCCTCATCTAACTCAGCATGTGTTGAGTAATTTCTCATCTTACATTATTACATAGAAACTTGGAGCCAATTGACCGCCCAAGCAGATTGCTTTAGGAAGAAATAGTATATCTTTGATTGACAGAGCAAGCCCAACCCGGACTGTAAGAGTGAACAGCATATACAGACTGTCTGGAAAAAGGAAGAAAACGATACATTTTGGACTCATTGGCTGATAATAACAGGAAGCCAGAGTGGCCATGGGAGTGTGAGGACAAAGTCAAGTTCAAGTGAACCTCAAAAATACAAGGATAAAAAACTGTTTCAATGCATTGGACAAGCAGTAAAATTCTTTTCATCGCACATCCTGCAGAGAATCCTAGTTATAAAACAATCTAAATGTCCACCAGGCTCTCATCTTTGCCAAGTTTTACCTTATTCCCCCAGCCTTGCATTTCCTTGTTTGTCTCTAAAAGTTGCAGCTTCAGTTAGAGTCATGCTTTTGTTTGAACAAATTATAATTGATGTATATTTTCAAATTTTGTTGTGTTGAAATGTTTAATGCCACTAGGAACTATAAAGGTCATAACTCAGTGGCTCAAGCCTGTAATCCCAGCACTTTGGGAGGCCGAGGCAGGTGGATCACGAGGTCAAGAGATTGAGACCATCCTGGTCAACATGGTGAAACCCTGTCTCTACTAAAAATACAAAAAAAAATTAGCTAGGCATGGTAGCCCGTGCCTGTAATCCCAGCTACTCAGGAGGCTGAGGCGGGAGAATTGCTTGAACCCAGGAGGCAGAGGTTGCGCTGAGCCGAGATCGCGCCATTGCACTCCAGCCTGGATAACAAGAGCGAAACTCTGTCTCAAAAAAAAAAAAAAGGTCATAACTACAACTCTTGGGGAATTTCTCATTCGCCCAATATAGTGCTAGTGAGCACCAAGAAATCAGAAAGAAGGCATTGTGTCCAAGCCAATGCCACACCTCTGATTTTCCATATTCATACCTACCTAAGGCAATTCAGACCAAAGTCAAAATTTTCTCCTAGCCTTTTCTTCTTCTTTTTATAATCTAAATGTATCAAGATAAGGACACTTAAAACCGATACTGTCATCTACAAATCAATCATCGGAAGTTGAATATAATGAGCGGAAAAGTGATTTGTTTCATCACTGTTTAAGAACAGAAGAAAAAATAATTTCATCTATTCATATATTTGAGACCTTTTTTCAAGTATGAAAAAAATATGAGATTTTAAAATTATATTAGCATTAAAAAAAATTTTTTTAGAACTTTTTTTCTTTTTTTTGAAAGGAAAGAAGAAAGGGAAAAAAGGAGTAAAGGAGAGGAAGAAAGAGGAAGAAAAGGAGAGAAAATGGGAATATTGCTTTATTCTTAAAATGGGTATTAATAATGGCTGATCAATATTTTGTGTATTTAAAGTGGAGAATGTATATTTTGTGTATTTAAAATGGAGAGCTCTATAAATATTTATTAAGTTTACTTGTTCCAGATCTGAGTTCAAGTTCTGGTTGTCCTCATCAATTTTCTGTCTCGTTGAGTCTAAATCTCTTTATGGGTCTTATGTATCTGGGTGTTAGAATCGTTAGCTCTTATTGTTGCATTGATCCTTTTACCACTATATCTTTGTTGCTTTGAAATCTATTTTATCAGATGCGAGAATTTATTTATTTATTTTTGCTCTCCATTTGGTTGGTAAGTCTTTCTCCATCCCTTTTTTGAGTCTTTGTGTATCCTTGCATGTGTCTGGATGCAGCATATGTCTGGATGTGTCTGGATCCATGGGTCTGGATGTGTCTGCATGGGTCTGGATGTGTCTGAATGTGTCTGGATCCATGGGTCTGGATGCAGCATATTGTTAGGTTTTGGCTGTATCTTTTGATTGGGGGATTTAGTCAACTTAAATTTAGGGTTACTGCCATTTGATGTTAACTGGCAATTTTATCCATTCGTTTATATAATTTTTTTATATGGATGCTCTTTACTTTTTGGTATATTTTTAGAAAGGCTAATACTGGTTGTTCTTTTCTATGTATAATGCTTCTTTCAGAAGCTTTTGCAAAGCAGGCCTGGTTGTAATAAAATCTCTGAGTACTTGCTTGTTCATAAAAGATTTTATTTTTTCTTCAATTGTGAAGCTTAGTTTGGCAGAATATGAAATTCTGGGCTGAAAGTTCTTTTCTTTAAGGATATTGAATATTGGCCCCCACTCTCTTCTGGCTTGTAGGGTTTCTGCTGAGAGATCTGCTGTAAGTCTAATAGGCTTCCCTTTGTGGGTAACCTGACCTTTCTCCCTGGCTGCCCTTAGTATTTTCTCCTTCATTTCAACCCTGGTGAATCTGACGATTATGTACCTTGGGGTTGCTCTTCTTGAGGAAAATCTTGTGGTGTTCTCTGTATTACCAGGGGTTGAATATTGTCCTGCTTTGCTAGATTGGGAAAGTTTTCCTGAATAATATCCTGAAGAGTATTTTCCAGCTTGGATTCATTCTCTCTGTCACATTCAGGTACACCTATCAAACATAAATTAGGTCTTTTCACATAGTCCCATATTTCTTGGAGACTTTGCTCATTTCTTTTTATCCTTTTTTCTCTATTCTTGTCTTCTTGTTTTATTTCATTAAGTTGGTCTTCGACCTCTGATATCCTTTCTTCTGCTTGATCAATTCGGCTATTCAAACTTGTGCATATTTTGCTAAGTTCTCGTGTTGTGTTTTTCAACTCTGTTAGTTCATTTATATTCCTCTCTATATTGTCTATTCTTGTTAGCATTTTGTCAAACCTTTTTTCAAAGTTCTTAGTTTCTTTACATTGGGTTAGAACAAGTTCTTTTTACTCCCAGAAGTTTCTTATCATCCACCTTCTGAAGCCTACTTCTGTTAATGGAACACAATCCTTCTCCATCAGGGCTTGTTCTGTTGCTGATGAGGAACTGTAATCCCCTGTAGAGGAAGAGGGGTTCTGATTTTGGGTATTCTCAGCCTTTTTAGGCTGGTTTCTTCCCTTTGTTATAAATTTATCCATCTGTCATCTTTACAATTACCGCCTTTCTAATTAGGTTTCTGAGTGGACGTCCAGTTTATTGATTCCCAGTGCTGGAATCTGAGCAACCCACTGCACCGGCCAAAACAGCAGTGATAAGACTGATGGTGCTCTTCTGCCTGGGAATCTCCAGTCTGGCTTTCTTCTTGAGTCCATAATAAGTGGCTCTGCCTTCCCGGAGCTCCAAACATCAGTCAGAAGGGGAACCAATCCTGTTTACTCTGCATAAAGAGCTGCCACGCTGAGGCATCAGCAAAACCGCTGCACCGGCCACAAGAGTCACGCTGGCGACCCATGGGGCTCCTCCACTGGGAACCTTCTGGTCCGTGAGTGATGAAAATTCGTCTGAAAGTGTGGTGTCCTCTCGTTCTCTGTGTTTTCACTGGAGCTACAATCTCGAGCTGTTAGCAATCCGCCATCTTGGATCTATATCCAAGAAAAAAAATTTCTTGGTATGGAAGTCTAAGGATGCGTGGAAACCTGTGGGAAGAAAGAATTCAGATAATCTGTGAACCTGAATGAGAAAAAAAATCACATCTTCATTTTTGCTAACCTCTAACTGAAATTTAGCATGTCATCAACTATAAAGGAAAACTGCAAATCATAGGACGATTGACAGTACCTATGAGAGACATCCTCATTTCATGTTACATGTGCTTCAGATATTTCAAAATACCATTAACACTTGTCATTACTTTAAAATTGTAATATTTATTAAACCCACTATTGCATTTGGTTATTTAATGCATTAATAAAGAAGCACATTTATTTCAATATCAAACAATTCTTTTTAATAACTTGATAAACATGTTTCAATATAATTAATAACAGTTTTTTTATAAGTACGTTTTATGCATTTAGAGGCATTATGAGCAAGTAGCCATTTACACTGTCTGAAATGGAGACTTAAGGAAGTTTAAAAACAAAATTTCCAGTCTCTCAATTGTTTCATAATTTCTGTTTGAACTTTAGAGAAATATTTTCAGAAGTACTTTCTCTCCCACTAACACCAGATTAAAATATTTCCATTTCCTGTCACCATCTCTTCTCTCTTCATATAGGACAATATAGCACACTTACTTTGCCATGGTTTAACTCTTTTTCATTTTGTTCTCTAGCTATCTTTGTTCAATTTACTAAATTTACACTATATTCAAATTTAAAATAATTTTATATTTAGATTTACCAAGTATTTTCTGTTCCAGGGCTCTTTCTTTTGGTTCATCTTTTTTTGGGGCAAGATGTTATTGCAGAGTTAATTTTTAAGAAGTGCTAACGAGTGCTATATTCTTTGATTTCATGTATACTTGAGATTGACAGTTCTGTTTATATTTGAACAAGAGATGGATGCAAGATTCCTGGTCTGCTTTCTTTCCCTCAGAACTTTGTAGACATTTCTCCTTTGTGTTCTGCCATTGAAGAATGCTACAGAGAAGACTAAAGCCTCATTTTTGTTCTCATTGTAGATGACCTGTTTTTCCTACCTATTTTCTTTAAAAAAATTTTGTTATTGTTTACATTAATTCTTTTCATCAAGTGTTCCTGGCACTCAATTTTTTGCTTTGCCTATGAAATGCTTCTTTCACATCAGATGATTTCTCCAGCATTATGTCTTTGAATGGTTCAGTTTTTAAAATTCTATTATTTAGGAATGTCAGTTTATACTTATTAGACTATACTTGGCTTCTCCATATCCACTTTTCTCTAATTTTTTTTCTCTCCTTACTTTTATGCTGCTTTCACTATAATTACTGCAGTTTATTCCTTTACATCATGATTTAATTATTATTCTTTGAATATTCTATTCATTAAATTTCTATATAGATTTATTATATCAAATATGGTATAGATTTTGGTTCTCAATTTGTTGTTAGCTGTTCATCACATCCAGCCATTTATTTTCAGACATTTCAGCATTTGCGAGTTTTTTCTTTTTTTTTTTGAGATGGAGTTTCACTCTTGTTACCCAGGCTGGAGTGCAATGGCGCAATCTCGGCTCACCGCAACCTCCGCCTCCTGGGTTCAGGCAATTCTCCTGTCTCAGCCTCCTGAGTAGCTGGGATTACAGGCACGCGCCACCAGGCCCAGCTAATTTTTTTGTATTTTTAGTAGAGACGGAGTTTCCCCATGTTGACCAGGATGGTCTTGATCTCTTGACCTCGTGATCCACCCGCCTCGGCCTCCCAAAGTGCTGGGATTACAGGCTTGAGCCACCGCACCCGGCCAGTTTTTTCTTTTAATAGCAGGAAGCATTCTTCAGTAATGTTTCCATCTAGACTGGGTTTCAGGTTCTTCACCAGTTTTAAATTTGTTATATCCTGTTTCATTAAAATTGACTCCCAGATATTAAAAAGTGAACTTTTGATTTCATATAAATTTACCCTCCCTCCTTCCTCCAGCTCAGGCTTGACCTATGCTCAGGTGCCTATACTGAAAGGAGATGAGGCACACTCCTTCCTTCTCTCCTTGATTCTTTCCATTCTGTAATGGGTTCCTCAGAGGAAACAGAAAAGGGCAAATGTGTAGTGCATGTTCAAACATTGGCCCTGTCATGAGACAAAGCTCTAGGTGCTTCAGAGACCCATTAGGTACCTGCACTACTGTTCCCTGACATAGATGAGGTGCTCTTCTACTGACCTCAAGATACCCTCACCCCTCAGCTCCTGACCCAAAGGGTCACTCTACATCTCTTTTTCTGAAGTCCCTTTGCTCTAGAAGTTGTGCTCTTGGTTTGGTTTTCAACAAGAAAGCTAGAGCTGGTCACCTTCTGCAGCACCCACTGGGGCCCTAGGAAGCTCCACATCCTGGCCACATCAAACAATAAAAGGATGCAATGCTCTCCTTTGGCTTTCCCTTGCCCTCCCATCCCCGGCTGTTCTAGCCAAACTGCTGCCTTTACAATCTCATGGAAAGAGACGTGTTTTGTGTACATACAGGTGACACTAGAGATCACGCTAAGTTCCCCTAATATCTCTCTCACCATGCTTTGCTCTGGTGCCATGAGTGGGCCTACAACTTTTGCCTCCTTAGCAAACAGCCTGAAACTGAGATGCTCTCTCCCCTTCCTGCAGGCTGTTTACATTGTCATCTACAATGTTGTCAATGATGAGTGGTTCTCTTCAACCACCCACACTTGGACCTGGTTTGGGACCAGGACAGAGTATTCTTTTATCATCTCCAACAAGAAAAAAAGTAACTAGTTCTTTCTACTAAACAAGTTGAAGCTTTCTACCTCCACAAGCCATCTTCCTATTTTATTCCTCACTTAAAATAGTCTGAGAGATGGGTCATCAGGTGGGAAGGGAGCCTTGAGCAAATGTGTAGAAGAGCTTGGCATTCTCTTTCAGAATGAGGGTACTTAGCACATACTTCCCTCTGCTCTGAGATTTAGCCTATTTTCTCAAAGTATCAGGAAAAGGCTCAGTTCAACACTTAGGACAGAAGTGGTGAAAAATCTTTCTCCCCTAATATTTCTAATTGTTCAAGTAATAATGCTTAGGTTATTGGTTATGAACTGGTTAATTTGTGGCACTCCACCAAGTCATGCTGTTTCAGGAGTACTTAATGGTGTTACAGAGGAAACTTCATGGCTTACATATTTCTTTCCAGCAGTAAAAGCCAGTTTTACTGCACAGTCCATTGGAGAATTGCTCCTTATTAAACAACAGTACCCCCTCCCTTTAGAGCACCTAGAGCAAAATGCAGAGAAGAAAACTGAGCCTAACAAAGGTTGCTGCAGGTAAAGTTGTTAGGATCAGATAGTTTGCAGTCTCACCGGAAGAAAGCAAAATCAAAATTTGCAGAGACAATTTTTCATGAGATCTTATTAAATACTTCACTAAAGATGAACTTTGGGACATCAAAAGAAGAGACTGAAAATAAGATGCTTGATTCAAGAAGCTGCCATCCCTGGCATAGACCAATTTAACTTGTGTCTTGGCATGCTCAAGCCGCTGCAACAAAATACCATAGCCTAGGTGGCTTAAACAACGGTCACTTATTTCTCACAGTTCTGGAGGCCAGGAAGTTCAAGATCAAGGTACTAGCAAGTTTGGTTTCTGGTGAAGGCCTCTTCCTGGATTGAAGATGGCTGCTTTTCCACTGTCTTCTCACATAGCGCAGAGAGAAAGATCTCTGTTCTCTTCCTCTTCTCATGAGGACACTCATCCCAACACAGGGCACCCATCCTCATCACCTCATGTCAACCTAGTTACTTCTGGAGGACAGTATCTCCAAGTACCATCACACTGAGGCTTAGGACTTCAATATACATATTTTAGGAGACACACAATGCAGCCACCGCAAGTAGGGACAAGATGGAACACAAGACAACAAGTCACGAGAACTAACATGAACCCAGCAGAAGATTTTGGACTAAACCAGAATACGACAGGTTCTCATCTATCATTGGGTGAGAAGGATCTGGAAATCAATAGCAGGACCACCCTGTATATTCTTCAAGAAAGGATTATATGCTTATACTAAATCGATTCTAAAGTATATGTAGTTTTTACTGCAGAGTGAGTTCAGTTTTTCTCTACACATTTTTTTGTTGCTATTCCGAAGTCCCAGTTAAACAATCTTTCCAGTTACTATAATAAAACTGTGTAGGATGTGTCTACTTAATCTGACCATTGCAATAAAAGTTCCGTATAATGGAAATGTAAGGATATCCCACACACTGTGTTTCTGAGTAGCAGGCTGTTCAGAAAACACAGTTCAAAAGACAACAGTCATTTGAAAATAGTTCTGCTTTCCCCTTTGAATTTCTCATATCGGCTAAAAAAGATAGACATCAAAATATTCCCCCCAAAATAAAAAAAAAAAATGTTTCTTTCTCTTTTCCTGAAATATCATAGCCACTACCTCATTTCTCAAACCTGAAAGACCCTCTTGAAAATATGTTTGTGCTGCCAGGAATGACTAACACTCACTACAAGCATAAAGGGCATTTTAGGAAGGCTAGGGGTTTATATGACTTTTCTCCCACCTTTTACAATCCATGGGAAAATGAAGTTCCAGTCCTGTTACTTTCTTCCGAAGAGTCTGCTGGTGGCGTCTGTGCCCTCTGCCACCCTTTACTGGAAGAGAGAAGGTACATATATGTGAACACATGTCTCAGTAGCAGTGACTTCACTACATTCTAAAAAGACTCCCTTTCAGCATGCTGCACTCTGGGTTCAATGTACATTACAGATTCTCAAGGAAACTAGAAAACCGGGTGATTTACAGGTTATATGTCCCTAGGGAGATGCCAACACAATCTATGGTGAGTTCTGCTGTTCCTAAAGTTTTTACTTGGGAAAAGTCCATTTTAAATGAATGCAAAGGCAGCTTTAAATGTTGAAAACTAAAAGGTAGGTAGGATGGACAAAACAGAATTGTATTAGTTTTGTCAAAAATGCCATGGGTATGGCAGGATGAGCTTAGACTCTATTAGTCTAAGCAAATGGTAACCCATACATTTTACTTACTATCTATTATAACTACATTGTCTCCAATAAAAGGTTTCTTACAGGTATCCTCCCCTCACTGATAAGGAAAGTGAGGCCAGAGAGGAAAAGATTACTCTCAGTTATATGCAGATAGAAAACATTGGGCCAAGATTCAATTATACGATTGATCAAAGGAATGAAAGAACAGAGAGAGGGAGAGAAGAAGGAAAGGAGAAAGGAAGGAGGGGAAAGGGAGGGAGACAGAGGGATGAAGAAGAGGCATGAAGGGAAAAAGGGCATAGGGAGGGAATAAATCACTGTTTCTCATATTACACCCCTCTGCCTCCTTTGCCCTGTGTAATTTGCTAGCTGTGTGGCCTTGGATGAATTGTGTGAACTCTCTGAGCTTCAGTTCTATGATCAATATAATAAGGAAAGTGTTGTCCCTCCCGAACACACAAGATTTATGGGAGGATTAAATGAGCTAATGAGGTAAACATGTTTTGTTTTCAGAGCAATGCTGAGTTGGATAAATAAAGGGAAGCTTAGTATCACAAATGTTTCCCATTTTTTACACCTTATAAAAATACATGCCACAGTTAACTCAAACGTCAGCTCTCAGCACCTCAAGATTTGTCATTCATTTATTTGACACAGTTGCTGAACTCCTCTGGGGTTCCAAAGACAGTAGCTGGCATTGAGTAGGCATAGATGAATAAGTCAGCCCTGCCTTGGAAAGTTCATGGTCCTGTGGAGAAGAGATGATTGCTCATGGATAAATACAATATGGTGCAAGGCATAACACAGTGGAAAGCCATGTGTGCTCTTCAGGGTAATTCACTCTGCCCCTGGGGGTATCAGAGAGGCTTCATGAAGGAAAAAATGTCTTACCCGGGGTCCTGAGGGATGAGTAGGAGTTTGTACCTTCTTCTTCCCTGTCAGTTGACCTGAGTTACTGCCCAGCTGTCAGCTGTGAGGCGCTGCTGAGCATCAGCTCCAGGGTTTCCCATGATTTAGGTGGGTCGTATGAGGACAACATGATTCTAGAGAGTGTCCAAATACCTCATTTCTTAACATTTACATTGTCCAGAAATTATTTTCCATCTACTCCCACTCCAATCCCAGAAAACTGTCTCTTCACACCAAAGTTCCTGCTAATTAAAGACAGGAGATTTTCCCCGCTGATTCTGGGAAGCCTGCTTTTATTTCCTGATCTGAGAAACTTCAGGGTAAAAATCTACTCCCCCTTTAGAGACATCTTGCAAACACACACTGTTCTTGTAAAGAGGAGGCTGCTTCTGCTCCCACTCGGTATAATAATTGTTAGACAACATTTGCATTTTGCATTCCCATTGCTGTGGTTTGTGTGAATTGCAGACAGACACCAGGTTGCTGACCTCCCAGCCTGCCACCTGGTGCCGCTCTAATTTGCAAAGGAAATGGCAGAATCACAACCAAGAGGAAAATGCATGAGGGTGCATGACAGGACCTGGCTAGAAAGACGTGCGCCCCACCAAATTGAACTTTGAACTTTGTTAAATGCATGTTTCATTTTAATTGGTAAATGCACAAATAACTGGCTGCTGATGAGAGAACAGCATTGAGTAGCAGCAAGAACATGAGCTCTGAAATTAAACAGGGCTGGATTCAAATTCGCACTACTTCACTTTCAAGCTGTGAAATCTTGTTACTAAACTCAGAGTTTCTGTTTTTCTCTTGGAAACTAAAATAAAATGAACGTGTTGTCCCTTATGATTGCCAAGGGCCCCTCAAATTCTAATAATCCAAAACTATATTAATGGTAGCAATTTAAGCAGCAAATATTTAACAATTGTTCAAATAATTTCTGAGCCTTCCCTGTATTTCAGGCCCCATGCTGAAAGCTGGGGCAAACAAAGTAAGAAAGAAAACCTTGCTCCTATCCTCAAATAGATGATGATCAGCATGGCCTTTAATGGAAGTAATGAGCACTCAAAGGCTAAGAAACAACAAGAGTGTTAGTAGCAAGTACCAGGAGGCTGATCAGAGAAGGAGGGAGGAGGGAGTCACACCTTGAGACAGGAGTTGAAATAAAATGGTCAGAGAGAAGAGAGAAACAGCATCTCAGGCATAGGTGGGAAGGGGCAGAGAGGAACAACAATTCTATCTTGAACGTGTGTGCTTTGGGCTTTGGGCTAGAAAACTGAGACACAGGATCTGATATATTTTTGTGCCATTTCTGGACACAAGAAGACTGTAAGGTATTAGTTGGTTTCCTATAACTTCCTGATTGACAAATCCAATAGCCACGACTTAAATCCCTTCGGCCTTTCACTTCTACGAAGCACTTTAACGTTCCTGAGCAGCCTACTCTGTGGAATTCTGATCTCTTGGTCTATGGAGGGTCAGGGGGCCTCCTGAGTTACTAGCCTCTTCCTCTCAGTCTTTTCTGCTTCCTCCCCTTCCTCAGCCTAGCCTGGACTGTGCAAGGTTCCCATGAGGTCTGTTCTAGTTCTGTTATCTTTCTCCTTCTACCCGTCTTTTCCTGGAAAGTTCTTCCACTCACTACTTCGATTTCTGCCCCAAGGCCAAAGACCCCTGAATGAATACATCTACTGCAGGCCAGCTACCTTGAGCCTCAAAGCCTATGGATGGGACATCTCTACCCTGTGTTCCACATGCTCCTCAGGCTTAGAGTGCCCAGAGCTAAACTATGACCCCCTCATCCCCTGCCGGCTTTTCCTCCAGTGTTCCTTCCAGTGCTTCCCCCATGTTCTGTGTCCACACCAAGCTGAAGCACAAAGCACAGGGTTCTTCTGCTGCCTTTAACGCATGTTATCCAAGAGCATGCCCTGATAAGGAAAATACCCTAAACAGCTTTATCCTCTTACTAGGTTTTTTGTTTTCTGTTTTGTTGTTGTTGTGTTTTTTGAAATAGAGTCTCACTCTGTCACCCAGGCTGGAGTGCAGCGGCATAATCTCGGCTCACTGCAACCTCCGACTACCAGGTTTAAGCAATTCTCCTGCCTCAGCCTTCCGACTACAGGAAGCCTTCCGACTCAGCTGAGACTACAGGCGCCTGCCACCACGTCCAGCTAGTCTTATTTCGTTTGTTTTGTTTGTATTTTTAGTAGAGACAAGGTTTCACCATATTGGCTAGGCTGGTCTCAAAATCCTGACCTTTTGATCCGCCCACCTTGGCTTCCCAAAGTGCTGTGATTACATGCGTGAGCCACCGCGCCCAGCCTAGGTTTTTCTGTTTTGTTTCTGCTGTTTGCAGCACTCAATGGACCCCAAAATACACACACACCACAATCTTTTCTGCCTTAAACCCTCACTTGTCCATTTCTACTGGTCTCTGAACCAGTAGAATGTTTGCAAATTAAACAAAGCATTTCACCGGATGTGCAAGAGGACCCCCTAGTGGTTAAGAGGATCACAGCCGACTTTTCGCTTCTCTTCTTCCCATCATACCTGAGTCTCCAACTCTCAGCCTCATTCTCTGCACCTGTAAATTGCAGACAATCCCGAAATATCTGTGGAGTAAATGAGAAAGTGTAAAGCGAATTTGAAAACTGCAGTTTTTTAAGTATGCGTATAAGAGAACTTGTAGAAAAAGCACTTTTAAGAAGTAGGTCAACTGGGAAATTGCCTTGTTTCTATAGGGGGAACAAAATCATCACTAGCTAAATAATGCACTAGATAGAAAAATGTAGATTTATCAGAGCCCCTCTCAGGAAAAGTACTATACTATATGTGGTTAGGTGCTTTTATAATCTCTTTGAAGAGAAAAGGTAAGACCCTTCAAGGGACGTGTGTCAGTGTGAACACAAATGGTCACTATTACCACCTACTTTAAATCTATACTAGGAGTGAAGAGTAACACTAGCATGTTATGTTTTCTGGGTTCAAGTAAGGTGCTGTGGCAGGATATTATTTAATTAAATCAAATGTATTATAAATTAAAATACATTATCTTATTGAATGCATGTTCTTGTGTTACGCTGTTTTAAAGGCCTGGATGGAAGGGGTTGGGCTAGCATATGATATACTGTTTGGAGTTGATTATTGTGCAGAGCGTGGTCAACAATGATATCGTATAAATTTTCTTTCTGTTGTTCTAATTTCAGGCCTCCCAGAAGTTTGGTGTTTCTTAACCAGGCTCTCTAAGAGGGAAGTTTACAGATGATGTGATGGGATTGAAGGTATTCTCCCTCCCCCATTACCCATAGTTTCAACTCGTTTCTTCTATAGCACTTCACAATACCTACATAAGCTTGGATAATTGTTTGTTTGAATTCAATAAATACTTCACACATGTTAAGGGGATTTTTCCAACAGTCTGAGCCCCATGACAAAATTTGATTTCTTCTCCCGACCCTACCCCAGCCCCATTGTAAACAGCCCATGAAATGCTTGCCACTTCCCTATATTTGCATGGACCTTCAATTGTAGCTTGAGCACACTATGCTTCTAGGCCCTCCAACAGGTATATAATTGTGTTACACTGTACAATGTCATCCAAGGAATTTCTCAACTTATTTATGCAAACTCTGTATGCCACAATACTGTTTTTGACAAAATTTATACCCCAAAATGGTCTAACAATTTGTGTAGGCTCTATCTCTAAAAGCAATAATATTAAATATGTTACAACAGAATTTTTTTTTCATTATAAATTTAAAAAGTAATAATATTAAGTATGTTACAGCTGATTTTGTTTTCATTCTAAATCACATCAAAATGCCAAGGACTGTGTGTGTGTGTGTGTGTGTGTGTGTGTGTGTGTGTGTATAAAACATATATAACTGTTCTATCTCAAAAAACCATGTGCATATATATATATATATATATATATACATAACATATATAACTGTTCTCTCTTTCTTTCTATCTCAAAAAACCAACTAAAACCCTACATAGTTTTAAGGAAGAGGATTGGAAGGTCGTTGCTTATGCTATATGTGTTGAACCCCCTAAGTTCAAG